TCCCTCCCATGGCAGGCGCCCCACTCTGAGGCGGTTCCTGAGCACTGCCGAACCTGGTCCCAGGGGTCTGCTGGCCTTCTCTTTCAGCCTTCCCTGTCTTGAGAGACACCACCTCCTTCACGAAGGGAGCAGCACCTGGCCACAGAGAGGAGTGCCAGTCCTCTGATGCCCTGCACCTCCGCAGCTCCATGCTGCCCCGCTGCCCCTGGCGCCTCCCCACTCAGTGTGGCTCCTGAGGGATGGATGGACAGATGGACAGCCTTGTATGAGCTTCCTTTCACAGCTGACCTCACTGGGCCTCGTCAGGATGGGCGCTCTTGTCCAGTGCATTGTGTCCAGGGTACAGACCCGGCGGGGGCGAGTACTGCTCTGTGCTGGGTGCTAGGTGCCATGCTCCTTAAGTGTCCTGTGCAGTCTGTAGAGGTCCCCTGTGATGCAGAGGGCAGCGCAGTATGCATTTTCAGATGTGAAAAAGTAGGGTTCAGAGAGGTACCACTTCTTTCTCTTTTTTCTTTTCTTGTATTAAACCATTTTTGGTACTGGGAATCGAATCCAGGACCTGGTACTTGCCAGGCAGGCACTGTGCCGCTGAACTCTATCCCTGGCCCTCAGAGAGGCAATATTTCTGTCCCAAAGTTGCTCACCAGATTTAGACTGAGCCGCTGACCTCCACAGCCTGGGTCTCCCATTGCCCTCCCTGGGCTGCTGACCTTGACACTGCCCATACCCCCTCCGGGCACCTGGAACCTGGGAAGGGGCTGATCTGCCGTTTCCTTGGCCCTGGGCCCCCGCCCCCAGCTGGGAGATCTGGGGCTTGTGACAGCACAGACTGTCATGACCTCAAGGCACGACTGAGGTCATGGTCTGATGGACATCGGCCCCCAAGTCTTCTGCCTTCCTGCAGTATTTATGGGAGGCTTGGAGCAGGTCATGCGGGCAGTACCAGGAGCCGTCTGCTTTTGCTTCTGGTTGAGTTCCATTTTGGCTTGGTCCTGTCTGTCGGAGGCTCATGCTGTCTCCCTAGGGTGACCATCTGGACCACAAGCATGTTCGCCTTTGAAGATGTCCCTGATGACATTCATCCTGAGCTGGGAGTCGTTGAGGAACTCCCTCGAGAGTTAGGTGTGTGTGTGTCTCCTTCACACCCAACCCACAGTTCACATTTGAACCATCTGGGATCCCGACTGAGAGGCGAGCGAACCGGTGCTCTCTCCAGAGTGGTGTAGTGGGGACGTCCCTGCTCCCAGGCCAGGCCCTCAGGAAGTGGGACCCTTGTCAACTTAGGGTACATTTGCTCCTGGAAGGATTTAAGAATGTGGCAGCTAAAAAGTGGCAGGGCTGGACCTCAGCCTGTGTCCTGTGACTGTGACCCGTTATACCACGAGGATCATCCCCAGACAGGTGCCATGCCCAGGCTGAAGGGAGTCCCCAGAGAGCTGAAGACACAGAGGTCGTGCCAGGTCAGCAGCAGGAAGTTTGTGTGAGGCCGAGCCTGGGGGAGGACGCTCATCGGCCCCTCCTCTATTCCCTCACCTGCCCACCTACATCTGCTCAGCAGAGCTGCTAAGCCCCCGGTGTGTGCCAAGGGCTCATGGCTCAGGACAAGTGACACAGGGTGCTTGGTTTTTCCCCATGCTGTGCAGTGATCCAAGAGCAAGAGCCTTAGGTAGCTGCGGTGACTTCCAGCTCCTGGGGCACCCGACTGCCACCTCTCCTGGCAGTGATGGTGCCCGAGTGTCTAGCACCTTCCGTTTTCTGGGGCTGCTGCCCTTGGAGATGAGTTGTGGCTGGGGGCTGAGGCAGGAGCTGCTGGCCAGGCTGCAGCAGCCCCACCGGAGGGAAGGCAGGGCGGCGACAAGCCCTTTCTTCCCATTTCCTCCCTGGGGTGGAGGCCTGAAGGGCGGACACAGCACCATTCAAAGCAGTCCTTCCAGTCTTCCTGAGGAGGGTGCCCCGGGCCTGTGCTGCCGGGTGATTTGGGGTGTCCCGGAGATGACGCCCCCTGTGGCTGATGACTCCATGCTTGTTTGGTGTGTGACAAAAGACGCCCAGGCTTGGCAGGGCCCTGTGACCCTCTGGCTTTAGAATGGGCAATGCTGTGGAGAAGCAGAAGCCCCTGAGACAAAGCAGTCTGTGTCCCTGGAAGCAAGGTAAGAAGGTCCGGGCCACCTTTCTAGGGGAAGACTCGAGGGGCAGCCTCCTGTGGGCTAGCGTTAGGGTTAGGGTTAGGCTGCTGGGAGGCTGCTTCCGGTCCCTGGGCAGTGCAGTGGGGAGGTTTGCAGAAAACCAGCAGGTGGCTCTTTGGACCCAAGTGGTTCCGACCCACAGCCCTGCCTGGGCCAGGCCTGGTGAGAATCCCTTTGGGGTGTTTGGTTCACGCAACCTTCGTCTGTCTTTACGTTTTAAACCCAAATCAGAGTTTTGACGTCCAGGAGTTCAGGTCTTTGTGATACTTCTGGTTTAGAGAATGTTCCTAATGACTTTTAAATACAAACCAGCTTTCTCCCATAGTCCTGGATGTGCGTGGTACAGGCTGCAGCCGGTCCTAACCCTCCCACCTCACAGGGGCTCTTGTTGGTCTCAGCCTAGAGTAGGAAGCAGCGAGCGGGGGCAGCCCCAGAGCCTTGGGGCCCCAGCAATTTTTATGCAGGAGCATTTGGCAACCTGGTGAAGGCTGGAGGGGGCTTGCACAGGCCCTGGCCAGCACCCCCCTCACCTCCTGGGGTGGATGTAGTGGGCTTGGTCTGCAGCAGGACTGCTCAGCTGTGCCTGCGCTTGGGAACACTGGCAGTGGTCAGCATTTGTGGTCGAATGATAGAAATGTCCTGTCTCATGGATGAAACAGTAGGTGTGACCCTAGCTCACTGTCAGGCACCACCGTCCCACCTCTCGGGAGGTGTTCTCTTAGGGACAGTCGTTCAGAAAGGGTGGGTCCTGGCGCAGCGGGGCAGCTGTCAGACCTTTGGGGCAGGTGGGGAGGTGGAATTGGACCTGGGCAGCAGGGTATGGTAAGGGGTCTCCCTTCCCTTGCTCTCCTCTCTCTCCCCGTCTTTCTCTCCTCATCCCTAGTACGAGAAGCACCCCCTCCACCCCCTCCACGTGCCAGCGGGAGAAGGTCACAGTGAGGGGTCAGGCTGCAGAGTCCATCGCCTGCAGTGTGCTTCAGGCGGCCTAACAAAGCACAGAACATGATATAAGTGAGCGCAGACCCTTGGTGGGTTCAGTTTTCCACACTGTCATGCTTTCTCAGTACATTTTCACACACTTAAAAAAACTAGCCTGGCATGCTGGCTTTGGCCTATAGTCCTGGCACCTGGGAGGGTGAGGTGGAAGGGTCACAGGTAGATCCCAGCCTGGGTGACTCAGCAGGACGCGGTCTCTGCATAGGAAGTGAAAAAGGGCCAAGGGGTGTCCGCGGTACAAAGGCCTTTCTGAACATTCAGAAGTACCATCAGAGTAAGCAGCGCACAGAGACCCTTAGGGTAGATGTTAGCGGATAGTGCTTTCGGGTTAGACTGGGCTGGGCGGCCGTCCTCCTGCACTCAGCTGGCGTGGGTCAGCTGACAACGTGGCCCCTGGCTTACAGACTCAGTGCAGGGCTGGCTGTACTCAGGGCATCAGTGGACGGCTCAGTCTCCTCTACGCAGGGGGACCTCGGTGTCCTTAGAGAGACACTGGCCAGGATGTGTCAGCTAATCCCACATGGGGAAGGGTATGTGCTGTGCCCTCCTGACGGCTGTCAGGGTTGACTCTGTACCTGAGACCACCAGAAGAGAGACTGGCTTTCGGGTCCTAACTGGAGACGTCGATCCTAAGTTGAAGCTAAAAGTCTAGTCATAACCCAAGTTGTTCGCAGGTCAGGCAGGTCGGAGCTTGAGGGTGCACTGGCTCTCTCCAGCTGCTGAGCAGAAGGGAAAAGCACCGATCTGGCGAGTGCGCAGCTTCAGCCTCTGAAACACAGAGGGCTTTCACGTACCCACTCACCTTAGAAAATGCCAGAGTTAACACTTCTGAAATCTTCCGCTGGTAGGGGCTGGGCCACAGATTGGCTGCAGGAAGCTTTGACATGCTGTCCTGTGGAGCTGTGTTTGGTGGTTGCAGTCAGGGTTGCAGTGCTGTCCCCCCAAGGGGTTTCTGCACCCGGCAGGTGGAAGACAAGAGACAGTGTGTTTCTGACTTCATGGAGCCGGTGGTAAGGAGGAGCGAACCCAGCTTTGCCTGGTAGGGCTGTTCCCACCAGGAACAGGGAAGACCCCACTGTGTTATCTCCCAAGTCTGAAGCCCTGTTCAAACTGCTGAGTGTGACACGCGCCTGGCATCTGGCACTTAGCAAGCTGAGGCAGTAGGGCCTCAAATTTGAGGACAGCCTGGCTGCATAGTGAGTTCAAGGCTGGCCTCCTACAGAGCAAGACCCTGTCTCAAAAAACAAAGCAAGGCAAAGCTGCAGGCCATGTCCCAGGTGGCAGGATGCTGTGCTGAGGAGCTGCATGCTGGTGGCATAGAGCACCCCTTTGTGGTTCACCTGTGTTGTCTCTGTCTTCAAGTTGTTCATTCAGATATGGGATTTTAGAACATTTAGGAAAAGGAACTTTGCATGTGTACCCATGTGTGTATGTGTGTAGGAACTTGTGCGCGTGTGGTGCTGGGGTTGCAGCTCAGGTCGTGCACGAGCTGGCAAGCGCTCCCTGTGGCACTCCATCTCCAGCCACCAGGAGCTCGGCAGGGCCCAGCCTGGCCCCATCGCAGTGGCAGATGAGTGATGGCTCAGGGCAGGCAGCAAAGTCCAGGGTCACCTGGGGGCCAGGAGTGGGGACCCAGCACATCACCTGTGGGTTTGCTGCACTCCAGGACCCCAGACAGGCCATGTCCGTCACCTGACGCTGGCAGATGGCACAGGCAGGCAGAGCTGTGTCAGACCAAGGCCTGTGACGGCGGGAAGGCCCAGCCCTGCAGCCTTCTGAAGTGGGCAGCGGGAGCTCAGTCCTACCTGCCCTGCACAGCGTGTGCTGCTCTGGAAGTTGGAAACGGAAGCGGCGAGCATTGTGTTGGCATGAGGAAGCTGGCGCCCACCACCTCTGTCTGTCTGCTGAGTCACCTGAGTGTTCTCGGCCAGAGAGAAACTTCTTCAGTGGCTTAAGAAGGTGCTGGACGTGTGCTGCCCATAAGGTGACGAGCACCACGTACTCTAAAGACTCAAACAGAAGAAAGGTGTTCTGTGTTTGTTGTGTTCGGGCCCATCAGTCTGGCTTGCTGGCACTGCTGACCAGGGCTCCAGCCTGCGCCATCCAGAACTCCAAAGTGGGAAATGGCTGCAGGCGGGTGCTTCTGACGACCTGGTGTCACCCCAGAGGTGTGGAGGGCCAGATTCCCCCACTACACTCGAGCACAGTGGCCTCTAGACCCAAGCTTCAGGCTTTGAATTTCCTCCAAACCCATGGGGATTCGGGGGAGGAGGGGTTAAGACAGGGTCTTACTATGTGGTTCAGGTTGCCCTCAAACTCATAGGGAGATCCTTCTGCTTCAGCCTCCCGAGTGCTGAGTGCAGGTATGAGCCATCATCCCTGGTTCCACAGGTTTTTTTTTTTTTTTTTAAACCAGTTTACCACCTGATTGGCTACTGTGTGGGGACCACCTGCTAGGCTCCTTGTTCTATCCCCAGTGCCACACAGCACATCCCTGGGCCCTTGGCTTAGTGCCCGGCCCCCAGTGGCATGTGATGGTGAAGGAAGGTGGATGTAGGCAGGGCAGGGTCCAGGGCCTGGCCCCGCTGGATCACCGTGGTGGCTGCCCATGAAAACCTTCATCCCCGGCCTTTCTCTGTGTAGGTATCTGGGGATGACAAAGCCAGCCTCTCCGCAGCAGCTGTGAGCGTGCAGTCTGTTATGGACGATTGTTCACAAGGTAAAAGACCATTTCACAGATGGCAACCTCTCATGGTGCTTTGTTGACACAGGCATCTGGGGAAGCTTCAGAACTGAGAGCTCCCTGGAACTTCTGTGAGGCCTGTGATCTTGCCCTCCCAGAAGGCAGACGGCAGGCTCTCTTCCCTCTCCTCCACTTGTAGTAGTTTGAAGACTTGCACACTGTGTTCCTTTGGGCTGCAGGAAGTATTACAGGCACCAGAGTTTCCTGGGGATTCAGACTTGCAACAGTAATTGCAAATTGCATTGTTACCTCCTTCCAAATCCCCACAGCAGGAGCCCTTCCAGCCTGGTAAAAGGAAACCTACTGATGTGTAAGTTCACACCCACCAGGGCATGGCAGGGAAGACCCTCAACCTGCCACCGCCTGGGTTCCTGTGCTGCAGGGTGAAGTTAGAGACCTAGGTGCTAAGACCCTCACAAGTCGGCCTGGGGCGTGGGCAGCTGGCAGTGGCCATAACCCTGGGTCCCAGAGGCACACAGCGGGCGGCCTGGGCTCTGACCACCAGCCCTGCCATCTGTACCTTCCCAAGCCTGTTGGCAGACTCTGTGTGAAGCTACCAGGAGCGCCCACTCCAGAGGATTAGCGTGAGAATTAGAGCGGGCTCCTGTGAGGGGTGCTGGCCCTGGCGAACACTGAGCATGTAGTGGGTGGCAGTAGGTTTAGCAGCGGGAGAGGAACGGCCTCGATCGGAGGCCCAGCTCTGTCCCGACTCAGCTGACTGGGTCTTCCCTCTGACGGCTAGTGGTCACAAGGAAGGGCCCTTGGGGTCTGTGAACTAGAGACCAGCGGTGGTGTGTGCGGCACCTCGGGAGAAGGTACCAGGTGCCACTTGAGCAAGACTGCTCGTCGCCAGACAGCAGGACGAGCTCCTCATGGTCACCTGGAGCAGGAACCTGGCTTCCCTAAGTGGAGCAGTGGCATGGGAGGCTGCTTGTGTCATCGCTGTTCAGGGTTAACAGCTTGAACTTGGGAGCCCGGGTACCAGGTTTGAGTCCTTGTCCTCCCACTGGACCTTGGGCAAGTTAACATCGGCCTCAGATTCCTCATCCTCGGGTGATACCGGCTTCAGAGAGGACTCGGGTGAAGGAGTGTGTCCACGCGGAGTGGTGCCTGGCATGTGGTCGTGCAGGGAGTGTGTCATCTGAGGTTGCAGTTCATTTACCTACAGCACCCTTACCTAGGGTGAGCCATGACCATGGCAGCGGGGCAATGGTAACTCGTCAGCCCTCGGTGGCAGCCAGGGGAGAGCTGCGGACAGCACTGTGTGTGGCCAGAGGTTTGGCCCCCTGGCTCATGGCTTGGCTCTTGTGTAACTGAAGAGAAGTGGCCGTGGTAGCCAGCGATGTCCTTCACACAGGCTCATGTCTTCTCTGTGGATCCCAGCACTCAAATGCAAGCAGGTTGAGGCCAAAGCAAAGCACCAGGAGAAATGAGAATTTTATAACAAAAACAATTGCTTAGTAGAGCAGGTGGTACAGGACTTCCCTACCCCTTCTTCTGAGCCACATGTCCTCAGGGGACTTGTCATCATTTTAAGGAAATTACCCAACAGACTTGCCAGACTGTATTAGCAGCTGCCCACTGCTGCCTTACCTATAATGGCAAGAGGGAAGTCCTTCCAGCATTGAGCAGAAGGCCAGTGATCTAGTAAATTCTGGAACATAAACGCGACAGAATGTCACAGTCCTTCGCGTGGCAGTGATGACCACACGGAAGCTCAGAGTTAGTTTCTTGCACATGCTCGCCCCTGTGAAAACCCACACGTGTGTCGCAGCTCTGGGAAGGGATGGCACCCAGCTAATGTTTTCTTCTCTGCTCTTTAGGCCCATTCATGGTTTGACCCCGAGCAGGCCCTGTCTCTCCTGGCTGTGTCAGCATTGCTTGATGTTCTTTAACAAGGTGATACCAGCCGGGGAGGTAACTCAGTGGTGACTGCCTGCATAGCATGGACGAGAACCTGGGTTTGATCTTTGCCCAAAAGAAGCAGCGTCATCTCTAGGCCGAGCTGTGGGGAGCTCCTCTAGGTTCCCAGGAGTGGGACACTGCTCGGGACCTTCCGTCTTCCATCTTCTGGAAGTGGTGCCGTGTGTTGGGAGGTCAGCTCCTTCCATTGTTGTACAGAGCTTGGAGCAATGACTTGTGTGCAGGGGAGCAGTGTGTGACAGTGACACGATATTTGGGACCCTGATGTGGAACCGGACAGGAGGCTATGCCTGATAGACAGGAGTCTGTGCAGACATTTACACATGCAACAGAAGTGCAGAGCAGGTGCTTGTGGTACTTAGGGTTATGTGTTTCATGTGAGCAAGCTTTGTGTGCCATGGAAGATAATTTCACGACATATGTACAACACGTCACGTACTGTGTCTGTGACATATGCCATATGTAACATGATGTCATAATGTGTGTGACACCATGATAATTTATTGTGTGCTATATGAAATGGTGGTGGCTTCCTTGTGTACCAGGCCTGGATTGAAAGATGGTGGAGCACCATGGGCTTCTGTTGGTGTGTGGTTGACACATAACTCAGGCCTCCCATAAGTTAGTGTTTTATTAAGTGAAATATCAGATGTAGGAAATGGAAAACATAAGTGTGAAGGAATTTTTCTCATGAGAAGTGTGGGGTGTTGTTTTGGGCGTGGGTAAGGAAAGGGAAGGAAACTTGGCTCCGTCATCAGATATCTCCAAATTTAGAACAATGTCTGTCCTCACCATTGGCTTTGAGATATTCTCTACCCTGGGAATGTGCGTAAAACACATTTCCGTGTGTGGCCATTTCTTCCCAGCTGTGTCAAGGGTGTCACCAATGTTTGAGATACTAGCAGTGGCCAGCAGCCCCCCACTCCTCAGGAACTGTTCGGAAGTTGCTTCGTGCTAGAAGGCCAGTGTGGCTCTGTCAGGGTACCTTGTAGGCCACACAGCCTAGGAAGTGGCGTCAGGGCAGCTCATGTACATTAAGGGTCAGTAAACTGCTCAAGGGAACAGAGAAGGAGTATTTTAAAGGAAACAAAACCGAGACCATTAGTAGGTGCTGATATGGAAACATTCTTCACTTTTAGGGGCAAGAAGCCTGCCGAGGGCTTGAGCATGGTGCGGACATGGGCGCCCTGGAAACCTGAAGTGGGTCACTCCTCTGTGCAGTGTCCTGGAGCCCTGTGGTGCCCATTTCCCATCCAGATGGCCCTGGTGCCTGGCGGGTGGGCGGGATCCACTGTGGGGCTCTGCTCTGGCCCATGGCCCACCTAACAAGGGAGGAAGCAGCGCTGCCCTCTGGGGTTTGTGTTTATAGCAGACCTAGACCACCCTCTTGGGGGCTGTTATGGGGACAGGGGGCCTATGGCAGGGAGCAGCCTGGTCGGACTGGGGCAGGTGGAGGGAAGACGAGCTCCAGGGTCTCTGGGGAGAGCCAGCTGGCTGCAGCTAGAGAGGGGAGCCTTGAGGCCAGCAGAGCAGGCTGGAGGGTCATAGCAGATGAGGTCACCATGGAGGGACCTTAGGGATGTGGAGGCTGGGCCTGCTGAGGCTTGCGTGGCACAGTCCCTGGCCCGAGCAGCTGGGGTTGGCGTGACCCCAGCCCCAGGGGCAAGGTGCCCGGAGCACGTCGTGGGTCGCTCAGGAGCCGGCGGGGCACACTTGGACTTTGAGATGTCTGCGTGCGACACCAGCAGGCTGCAGGGTGCAACATGAGCAGCTCTGGGATCCTTGGCAGGGCAGTGGTGTTCAGAGCCTCGAGACTGCGTGTGCCAACCCAGGCGGTGACAGAGGACAGAGAGACCAGGCCTGCGTGGAGACGGAGGATGGGGGAAGGGAAAATGCTGCTGTCCCTGAAGCTGCATGGGGCCTTGCTGAGGAGTGGGACAGGAGCCACAGGGCCACACCTGGCCCTGGGTGTCAGTTTCCTGGTGGTCCCTGGGGTTCGGTGGCCCTTGGGCTTAGACAAGAAGTTTCAGAGGGAGGAGCAAGAGGAGAGGGGGCAGTGGCCAAGCATCTCGAGGCCCGATGGTTCCCTGTGAGCAAGCGGGGACCCCAGTGGGAGGCAGCAGTGTGGAGGCGTGTCAGCAGGCACTGGGCTAGTGGCCGGGAGGAAGCGCACATAGCAAGAACACCCGGTCAGTGACCGGCCGTGCTTCATGCCTTCAGCAGTGAGGGCCGTGGCCACAGGCTGCAGTGCTCGATGTGGGCGCTGCTGTGCCTGTGCCTTCAGCTGGTCAGCTGGTGGCTGGCAGGTTTCCCAGGGTGGTCCCAGCTCTTAACGGGAGACCAAGGTCACCTTGCAAAGATGAGAGTACATGGGGAGAGGTGGGGGGTGCAGGGGCTGCTCTGCCAGCAGCGTGTCACAGTTCTTGGGGGTGCCATGTTGCCTTGGTCCTCAGGCATACACTTGGTCCCACAGACCTGTGGGTGGCAGAGGGGTCCTTATGCGTGGGGCTCTGACTCCCCAGTACCTCGATTCCCTACTTGGCCTTCCCAGTGGTTGAGTGCCCTGCCCCCTCATTGCGGGGTGTGGGGTGTGTCTGGTGGGTGAGCGCTGTCTTGTTCTTGGGCCAGATGAGGGAGGGAGAGCACTGTGGCCTGCTGCCCGCTGCCCAGGGCTGGGTAGTGGTGTTTACCAGCTTGCTGTGAGCTCTCAGTGCTTCATTGCAGAGGCAGAGCCCAGCTCTGCGCCCCACTGGTGCTGCAGTGTTCTGTGACAGCCCTTGACTTGTCCAGACAGCTGACTCCTGTCCAGCCAATCACACAGGCCCCTCCAGTCTTTGCCTGCAGGCTGTCTGACTTCTGTCATCTGCCTTGACCCTTGCCTCTTCTGTCACCAGCATGGCCCCGCCCCCTCTCCACAGGGCTTTCTCCCTCCAGAGCCTGTGGTGGTCAGCCTGTCCCTTCGGCCAGCTAGAGGTGGAATCCTGAGTGGAAAGGCTTGAGCTTATGGGGTTTGGGCTCTTCTCCCTGGTTGTGTGGCCTTGGGCAGGTCACTT